TACATGTTGGGTTTGCCGGAATTTCATTTTGCCAGTTTTCCAAATGAATATGCAAAAAAAATCCGGCGTATATTTTATTGGGGTGACGTTCACAATATCGAAATTCATTATATCGAATTCAAAATATCGAACACTTTTTATCGAAAATCAAAATATCGAAAATACAAAATGTCGAAAATCAAAATATCGAAAATTAAAATGTCGAAAATGATAATATCGAAAATTAAAATGTCGATTTGAAAATGTCGAATAATTAAAATTTCGAAAATTAAAATGTCGAAAATGATAATATCGAAAATTAAAATGTCGATTTGAAAATGTCGAATAATTAAAATTTCGAAAATTAAAATATCGATTTAAAAATATCGAAAATTAAAATGTATGATTAAAATCGAAGTGTATATGTACAGAGGCGCCTCTGTAGATAAAGTTACGGTTATGCACCGAATTATCTTGGCTCCCTGGCTCCTAGAGATGCGCGTTTTATAGAAATGTACTCAAACTCAACAACACAACCCAACCGACCCCGCCCCATTGCCCCCCCCCGCCCCATTGAGCAAAAAACCCAACTAAAATGGGCAAATTCATGTTACGATAAAAATAAAACACTTTTTAATTACATAAATTAGCCCATTTTAGTTGGGTTTTTTGCTCAATGGGGCGGGGGGGGGCAATGGGGGCGGGGTCGGTTGGGTTGTGTTGTTGAGTTTGAGTACATTTCTATATCAGAGGCGCCTCTGTACATATACACTTCGGATTAAAATAATATGTCGATTAATTGAAATATTTAAACAAAATATCAAATTCAAAATAAGAAAATATTTCGACATTTTGTATTTTCGACATTTTAATTTTCGACATTTTGTATTTTCGATATTTTGATTTTCGATAAAAAGTGTTCGATATTTTGAATTCGATAAAGTGAATTTCGATATTATGAACGTCGATATTTTATTTTCGATAAATTGAAAATTCGATTAAATAAAATTTCGATATTATCATTTTCGACATTTTAATTTTCGATATTTTGATTTTCGACATTTTGTATTTTCGATATTTTGATTTTCGATAAAAAGTGTTCGATATTTTGAATTCGATAAAGTGAATTTCGATATTATGAACGTCACCCATTTTATTGTTATGAATTTATTGGCTATACCTAATGTTTTTTACAGACACACTTGTCTCAAATTTCAGCCATTCAAATACGTAGCTACAATTTAATAAAAATCTTTTTTGATGAATTGTTATACAGGGTGTCACGAAAATAGTGTGCAATATGTGTGTATTTATGAGTCTATTAAACAGGGTATTTTTAGCCCCAAATTTTTTGTGTGCAATTTTTTTTGCAAGTTGGCTGCAGAATATAAAACTTAAATGTTTTCTACGTAAAAAAGTTACTCTTGTAACGAGTTTCGATAAAATGGACCATTTTTGAACAAAAATAAAATAACAAATTTAAAAAAAAATCTTTTTCAGTTCAATATACATATTTAAAATAAATAATAATAAAAAAATACAAATTCCCAAAAATACATTATAACCGTTTTAAAAATAATAATAATAAAACATCTTTAGGGGCGCCCCTTCAAGAGGCTTGCCGACCTACGTTCATAAACAGTTTTCTTTCCATTTTTGTCTCTAAAAACCGCTTGTAAAGTATAGCACACTATTTTCGGGACACCTTGTATAAGGATAATATTTCATGACTATGGTATCCTTTTTAGATAGCTTCAGAATTGTCAGCAGATATCGAATTTTTTTTATTGGTCCTAACGGTTTTTTTACAGACTAGGATGTAATAAAACTTTACCCTTTACAGCCTAAGAGATAATCGAATACTTTGTGGTAGTAAGCGTTAAAAATAAAGGTTTAAATTATAAAACGCCTAAAGTAAAATATATTGTATAATAATATAGGTAATATACAATATTTTATTTTCATGCGTTCTTTAATTTAAGCCTTATTATTGTCATATATTATATTAGGGTGAAAAAATGCTTATTTCATCTTTTAGAACGGTTTTAAATAATATTTTTTTTTAAATTAACAGGTGCCTGTAGCGCCATATTGGGTTAAGGGGTGAATTCGCGAATAACAGCCGTTTGATTTTATGGAAAAAACATCTGATAATTTTTGATAAAAGAATTAGTTAGCTCGTGTTAATATTATAAGTTTTTTAATACATGTTTGTTTTAATATTTGGAACCGTCATCAGTGCCGGTAGCCGTGGTGTGTAAGCACTGTCGAAACACATGTGTTTCTGCACTGCCAAGAGCTTTATACAGTAAAATTACTTTTCGCATGTGTTGGAAATTCTACAAGCAAGAAAATCTCGCAATTTTTAACTTACAAGCATGCAGAAAGTTGCCACTTATACTTTTATATTGAGTTATATAAGCAATATGTTTTGTACTATTTATGATTTATTATTCATATCCCTGTATAAAGTACAGCGACCGCGGTGAGAACATTGTGTATGGTAATCGTACATATCAAAAAATATTGTTTGTAGCAAATGACTTTTTACGTCATCCAACACAAATTTGCAAAATACTACCTACATTATCGTAAAAAAAAAAGATTTTTAACTTAATTTTATTTTCTTTCTTGTCATAAAAATAAAATATCTATTACAAGTATTGCAATAAATGCCATCCATTCGTTATTTTAAAACTGAATTTTAAATTATTTTTATGATTAGTGTTATTTTAAAATTATTTTGACTTTTTTTAGAGTCAAAATTTAGATCGTAATTTACACCTAATATGTTTGAAAAATTTCCGTCTTGAAGGGTTTTAATTTGCCTAAAGATAACCAACTTTAAACATAAAACATGACAGATAATTACATTTTCCTGATTTTTTGGTTCTAATTAAGTTGAAATTTGAACCACTGCGAATGTCGATTATTAAAAGCGCGACAAAATTTGTTGCTGCGCCTAAAAAACATCTATGTGCATTTTAACAACTTTTACAGAAGAACGAAAAGCCATTTCACTACCAGATAAAACTTTGATAAAATTATTTCCTAATATGTTTCGGTATAATTAAATATTAAAATAATATTAAGGGATGCATACTTTCATAAAAGTTTTAACTGGTAGTAAAATATTTTGTCTTCTCCTGTAAAATTTGTTAAAATGCGCAGAGGTTCTTGCATTGGCAGCGACGATATATAAATAATTCTTTGGAAAACCTGTAAATCAAAACTAACTGGAATAAAAATTTTGCATTAGTAGAAATTTTATTTATATATTTTTTAATTGGTATACAATTGGTCCAAAATAATTTAAATTTATGTAATACACAGTAAAAAATTTTGCCCGTGTAAATTTTTTAGTGTAGGGGTAAAAATATTAGAGTTGATTTGTAAGTGTAAAAGTTACACTACAAAATACACTAGGTAGCATTTAGTGCTTATTAACTTTATTAATCACATTTAAAGAATATGAACATTATTCATTGGTACATTCACATTATTTATTATTAAAATAAATTAAAAGGGTAGAAAAACTTAATGCGAGTGTTTATTACCCCTTAATGTGTTAAATAGTGACAAAATGTACACTACAGTGCATGCCAATTTCTTCGTCTGTTAAATTACACCAATAGTGGCAAAATAGACTGAAAAAACTGGTAATAACCGAAATGTTTGGTTAGTACCTATCTACCTACGCAGTGCATATCCGGAGATACCGCGTTGTGGAAGTGTGGCATGTTTGTTCAGTTAGATTTTAATTACGGTGAATTCATAAGGGGACATTCTTATTTTTTGGTAAATATTATACTTCCTTTTTCTTTAAGCCTTAATACTCAATAAATACCAATATGTTAAAAGGATGTTCATACCCGATCTATATTATATATCAATAATTTACGGCAGTAGGTCCGGTACTTGTAACATTAATAATATAAATACATACACACTTGATTTACTTTTTATTTTCAAGCGTAATGGTTGTTATATTAACCTATACCTAAATTTTTGTTAATATTATGGAAAATTTGTACACGTGTGGTACGACATACAGCCGCCTGACGCCTCTCTACCAATGGGATCACCCATTTTTTATAACAGAAAAATGGATTACTGATGAATTTTCAAGATAATTCATTGCTTACAAGTTGACATCCAGTAAAACATTGCATTGATCTAAAACTTTTACGTTTTAAGGAACCATTTTGCTTAAGCCAGCCATACGACTCAAATATAAAATTATATTTTAAAAGGCACCGATTTTGATAATTGTCATAGATTTTTGTTCCAAATAAAGGTTTCTCTTTATTTACCTTTTCGTTTTATTCACACCACCAAATAGGTTTTACTCAAATAATAGTGTTAATTTACACTAGAAGTTTGCACTAAAAGAGTAAAAGTACCTTTCTAAAATTAGAACTTTTCCAAAGTAGTGTTAATTTACATTGAACAAAAGTGGGATTTTACCCAGGAAGTGTAGAAGTACACGATTTTAGGTAAATTAACACTTTTTAATACAGTGTAAAATTACTTTATAGTCAGTGCTATAGTGTTAAATCATAATTGCTTACTTAGGGAAAATTACACTACAAATTAACTCTAATAATTATTATTATTAACAATTATTGTAGTGTTATAAAACAACACACAGCGTGGACCTGTGTGAACTCTAATTAGTGTTGCTTAAAGTTGATTTTTTTACTGTGTAACGAATTCTTTACATTCATTATTTGCAGTAAAATGATAAACTTTATTAGAGATCCAAATTAGGTTGTTCTAAATGAAAGTTAACAGGTTGAACGGGTTTTAAATCATTTTTCGTATGTCAAAGTAGGCTTAAATTACGATCTAAATTTTGACTCGGGATTTATAATAAAATTGTAAGGTATGCAAACAATTAAATTAATCTTAAAACCTTTTAAATATTCTTAAAATTTTTCGAAGCAGCATTAAAAGGATAAAGAATAATTGGCCTGATTTATGTGGGTTTCAAGAGTTGCGTGGAAAAATGCAAAGCATGCTTATAAACCACTTAAATCTATCGTAACATAAACTCGGAAGGCCTTGGCGTAATTATTGTTGTAACAACATGCCGTTATGGTGCTCTGGGCACTCGAGGCGTGAAAGGCGTAGTTCGAGCCCAACACACCGTGGGGCGCTGCACCGCCTCTCGAGCCGAGGGCCAAGTGGCCAACCGGAGAGATTTTAACGTTTAATTGTTGCCGGATTACTTTTCGACCGGCCTGAATATCGTCGTCATTAAAATTGCGAATTTAAACCCGAAAAGGAATCGTGGTAATCAGCCCGACGCACTGTGGTTTCTATAGCCTAAAAGTCAGCTAAAACGCAAAAAATTACTTTCAGAAAATACTATTTTCAAAAAAGGTAATAAAATGCATAAAATTCATAAGAACTGAATATGGGTCATTTTCAAGAAACACCCGCTTTCCGGAAAATGAAGATCAATTTTTTTTTTGCTTAAATTGACTTTTGGTTGGATTTTTATAAATGTTTAGAGTTTTGTTTACTTACATTTAGGACAGGCAGTGCACTTTTTAATTTTTTTGACGTTTTTTTCAGAGAAATGTGTTTAGCTAGCTTTATATATCTCCACTGTGTTACCAATTTGAAATTCAAAAATTAATTCAATAAAAAAGTTGTTATAAAAATAATTTGAAATAAAATGTACTTAGTTCACAAACTTTTGACTCCATTTTTTTATTAAAAATTGTATGCTTTTTTAAATATGTATGTTCGTTAAGTTACTTTTTAACCCTTATGTGCATAGAGAATAAATATACTGATACCGCACAGATAGGTACAATTGTACCTTATACTAGAAAACATGTATTTGTTTTGCGAAAGCAAGTTTTTGGAATTGTTTAATGTTTTGTGTTTTGGTTAGTATATCTCTTTAAAGAATTAAAAGCTTTGAAATAAAAAAAATTATATAAAAAATAGGCGTAGGCCGTTTTGTGGAATTGTTTATTTTGGTTTAAATTCAACGCATTGAAATATTTTAGTATTGATTCGGTTTTATAAAGTGTTTGAAGACATCGAGGGCCAAAGGGAATTATGTCGTCATCACATAGCCGAAGAACTTTTTATCAAGATTTAGAACGCAGCCTCGCAATGGGTAATATTGAAAAACGCTCGCAAATGCCAAATGTTGTAAACAAATTTTCTACCAAAAATTCACTAGAATCGATGATGGGGCATCCACTGGTACCATCAGGGTCATCATTTGCTACGGAAAATAAACCTCAAAAATCTAAAGTCCCTAAACCAGTAGTGGGATCATGCTATATTTGCAACAAAAATAAAAAGCAAAGAAAAACCAGAAAATGTTTCAGCGTTTGCAAAATCCCAATATGTGATGAACATGCTCAAACCATCACAAACTGTTTCACTTCTGAACTGTAATTATATATATATATATATATATATATATATATATATTTGTGAATTTATTGTTGTTTTTATTTCCCCCACCCCTATTAATTTTCAACTTAAACACATATAGGTACGAATGTACCTATCCGTGCTTAAATGGGATAATAAGTTTGGGATTAAAATAAAAAATTTCTACGTAAGGTAAATGTTATAATTTTTACATAAAAGGCATTATCTTTCCTTATTTTAAGATGTCATAAAACATGTACCATTTTTAAATTAAATTAAATAAGTTACTGCATAACAAAAATTAAAAAGGTACACCTGTACCTTTCCGTGTACATAAGGAACCATTCCGATTATTTGTTAAAAAAACAATACCATTAATATTTTCTTTTAGTCACTGTATTAATGAGTTAAACTCTAATTTATAAACACGTATTACCAAGTGATAGTGTTTAAAAATCATTTTAAGTATTTTTTAACAAATACTAAAAAAAGTAAGGATATATACATTGGTATCCCGGACGCATATTCATATGTTACCGACACAACCAACCGCTTCGGAAATCCGATTGATTTTATATAAGTTACAGACGTAACTTTAGGATTCCATCGGTAACTTATACAGTTGCTCAATTTCGGGCTCAATGGGGGCTCAATGGGGCGGGGGGGCCCAATGGGGCGGGGTCGGTTGGGTTGGGTTGTTGAGTTTGGGTTGATTTGGGTAATTCATACTGACATTTCATTAATTTTGTTCTTAATTGTATTTCAATCACTTAATTAAATTTTAATCAATGTTTATACAACTTGAAAGTTAGCTTAATAATTACATAGTTAACCAGCTGTTTACCAACTGTTATACAACTGGGCCTTATTATTGTAATGAAATAAACAAATTTTCATACTTTAATAACACCACTGCTCGCAGTCGTTGCCAATCGTTAAGTTACAGACATAAACTAAGAATACGTCGGCAACTTATTATTACGTGTTCGGTATCGTTCGGAAATCCGATTGTCTCTTTGTGTCGGTAACATATGAATATGCATCCCGGACTGGGGTAAACAAAGGACTTAATCAGATAACGTAAAAAAGAAACTATATAGGGTGGTACGATTTTAGAGTAATGCATAAACAAAATCCCTTGTAGTGGTGCTCACTTGCAGAATAACAACTTAGTTTTCTAAATTGTAGACACCCTTTTTCTTTGACTATAAGCTGGTGAAGGTCCGTTTTAGTACTTGTATATTGCGTGGAATTTTCCCTTGGATGTAATCTATATCATGAGTTGAAATCACAAATAATTTTAAATTGGTTTATCATAAACTACTTTTAATAAAAGCGACAGTAAATATCCACTTTGTTGTCGAAAAATTCTATTGCGTTACCCTAAATTCCATTGCGTCACAATAAGGTAACATAATGGACTCGGTAACGCAGTGGAAAAAGTTTTGTGAAACCATATTTAAAAAATAATAATAGGACATTATAGTCATTAATTACTCTAAAAGAGCTTTAGTGCCCCTTAAATAAACTTAAACATGAAAAATAGTATTTTTTCTTACCTTATTTTTATTATTTTTTTGAGTAACTTAGCGGACAAACAATTATTACATTCGCGTTACCCGCACCTGTTTCAACCGATATCTTCTTCCTAAATGAATAAACAAATTCAGTTGGGTAATGTGTACGTCCGAACATCATTTGTTGATCACGTGAGTGCCAAAAAAGTTGACATATATATGTTTTTTTAAATATTCTATCGGTAACACGACGGAAGTAACGCAACGGAAATAATGTCTGGGACATGACTCAAATTTAAAAAAAGTAGATTAAAATTAATTATTTTATATATAAATTGTTTACTGTATTAACTAAGGATGTTATGGATTGCTATAAAGCAACACAAAGTTCTGGTTATTCAATATTTAAAAAAAAACTTGTATGTAAGTTTTATAAAACGCTAATGGGACATGCGTAAATGTGTGTTTCACAAGTTTCAAAATTAAAAATAAAATTATTCTGAAATAACTAAACAAACATTTTATGAAAGAGTTTACTAAGGGCTTGTTAGGCTTTCACTTGGTTTTTAAATCCGATAATTTTTAACAAAGTTATTGGAATTCGGAAGGCGGGTGTTTTTTTGAAAACGACCCATATACAACTTTAAAGAGAGATGCATGTCAAAATTAAGATCGTAATTTAAACTTACTTTGACATACGAAAACCGATTTAAAACGTTTTCAGCCTGTTAACTCCAATTTAGCACTAGAACAACCGAATTAATCTTCATTTGAACCGATTTAAACCTCTAATAAAATTTTTGGGCGGATTATAAACCAAGTATCTTTTTATTTCAAAAATAAAATTTTACCATTGATAAATTCCATTTTTTAATTTTACTGCCCAATAATGAATGTAAAGAATTCGTCCATTTATTTTAGAAATTTAAATTATTTGTGTACGGATAAAAAAATATATAAATAAAATTTCTATAAATGCAAATTTTTTATTCAAGTTCGGATTGATTTACATGTATTTCAAAGAATTCATTATCGTCTATTTTCATATATATCCAGACAAACCTTACCAGATAAAACTTTTATGAAAGTATGCATTCCTTAATATTATTTCAATAACACTATGTAACATGATATTTGTTTATCTGGATTTTATTACACAAATCGTAGTAGGCCGTGCCCCCGATTACGTAACATACATTTGTTTTTTCAAGCTGTCAAATTTTCAACGACAGCCGTCAGATCGTGTTGATGGCTTTGAGTGTCATTAGGGGACATCCATTAATTACGTGAGGCATTTTTCTGATAATTTGGAGCCCTCTTCAACCTTGGTGAGATGTGGTAGACCCCCTCACGTAAGATTTTGGCCATTAAACTTTTTGCGGAACACATGTAAAAAAAATGAATAATTTTTTTAACAAATTTGCATTACAATACATATTTTTTAAACTCAAAAGTTGACGTGAGATTTTAAATGAAAGGTTTCTTTGGTAACCACAAAAGTGAACATTATTTTATTAGGAAGTTTTAAAGAAATGGGATGCCGTGTCGTTGAAAGTACACTATTTGCATTCGCATCTTGACTTTTTCCGTGAAAATCTGGGAGATGTCAGTGAAGAACATGGAGAAAGATTCCATCAAGATATTCGGGCAATGGAAAAGTGATACCAAGGGAGGTGGGATGCGACAATGATGGTTGACTATGTTTGGAATCTACATCGGGAAGAAAATACATCATATAAAAGTCGTATTAAAACTCATTTTTAAGCAAAGATTTAAAATGTTAAGAAATTATTCTTGCCATTTCTTGTCAATATTTTTTTTGTTTTTGATAAAACTGGGTTTGATTATATTATATAAATACCCCTTAAAAAAAATAAAAACATATCACTAAATTTTTAAAATTAAGTTAGTTTTTTGGCACACAAATATTAATAATTTAACAAAAAAATCCAATAAACAAAACAAAAATCAAATTTTGTTACATAGTTTAATTAATTATACTGAAAAATATTAGGAAATACTTTCATCAGTTTTATCTGGCAGTGAAATGTCTCCTGTAACATTTGTTAAAATGCACATATATGTTTTTTCAGGCGCAGCAACGATATATTTAAATTCAAATATTGTCGCGCTTTTATTAATCGACATGCGCAATGGCCTGGGCTTTTTTGGACTGTTGGTTGTAAACGGTCATAATTTGGATCAAATATAAACGTAATTAGAACCGAAAAATCGGGAAAATAACTTAACTGCCATGTTTTAGGTTAAAAGTTGGTTATCTTTAGGCGAAAATAAAACCGATCAAGTTTAAATTACGATCTAAA